AAGCAATTTCTTGGCTTTGCAACTTCTAGCATATGCTGGCTCTTTCTGGATCTAAGAGTAAACAACTTGATATACAGCCTGTGTTTCTTTACAGATCTGAACTCTCTGTATCTATATTTTAGATTTTCAGTGAACCATTCACATTCTCTAAAGTCTGTGACGTTACTTCTCAAATTCTGTCTATGTATTACCGAAGGTTTTCTTTCTGTAATCTCTGGAGTCTTTCTTTCAGAAATCATTTTCTTCTATATTTACACTCTCCTATTGTACCCTGATATATTGTTTTTTAACTTTGGGAACTGGATGATACACTCTTCAATGCTTAGCCAGAAACAAAAGCAGAAGCATTTCAAAATAGAGTAATCTTCAGAATCCTTTGTAGTACTGTGATTGTTTGCAGATAAGGAATTCACCATGGTTTGAATCTCACCAACTGCTTTCACTTTTATCGTGGTTGCAATTTACTTCACACCTGCACGGGAGGTGGATATACCAGAGAGCCTCAAAGGAACCACACGATAAGGAGAAATGGTAGCAGTCATCATGGCAGCCGCAATTTACAGAATATTAGGTGCATAATCACTGTAAATCTTGTTGTAAATATCATTTGAGAATAGAATGTTACAGCTTCACGAAAACAAGTTAGGTTAGGATGTTCAGCCTTGTGGTGAGACGAATGAAAGGTGCCAATGGGGTGTTATTTTTATTTAAGTGTATATATAAGCTTGGATATTCACAAAAAGAACAGTTTTCATAGAATCATAGAATCAGAGAATGGTTTGGGTTGGAAGGGACCTTAAAGATCATCTGGTCTCTGCCCATGGAAGATGTTGGGCACCTCCCACCAGCCCAGGTTGCTCAAAGCCCTGTCCAACCTGGCCTTGAACACTGCCAGGGAGGGGGCATCCACAGCTTCCCTGGGCAACCTGTGCCAGTGTCTCACCACCTTCACAGTAAAGAATTTCTTCCTAATATCCAGTCTAAATCTACCCTCTTCCAGTTTAAAACCATTGCCCCTCATTCTATTGTCCTTGTAAACAGTCCCTCCCCAGCTTTCCTGTAGGACCCCTTCAGGAACTGGAAGGATGCAATAAGGTCCCCTCAGAGCCTTCTCTTCTCAGGCTGAACAGCCCCAACTCTTTCAGCCGGTGCTCATAGGGGAGGTGCTCCAGCCCCCTGATCATCTTCACTGTACCATGCCTAGATCTCAAATATAACTCTATCTGACAACTGAAAAGATAGCATCAAGTGTCAGAAGCTACGTATATACTGTAAGACCAAAGTCACAAATTAGCCTCCTAATATGAGTAGTCATTTTGGAAAATGATGGCCCAGCCAAGAATGAAGATTTCCATTGTTCTTCCTTAGTCCCATTATTCCCTTGCTTTGAGTGCAGGACATTTTTAAATACCCTCCCTTGTCTGGAAAGATCTCCTGCTTAGCAAGTGACAAAGGCTGAGCATTTCGAGAATCCAAAGAGCCAGTATGAACCAGGGCTAGACTTCCAGTTCACAGAAATCCTTCTCTGGGCCCCATATCTGCCTGGTGATGTTTAACATGCAATTACTGAGAGAAGATTTTTCTTTCTGGGTGCACAGCAAGTTATGCAAGTGGATACTTAGCATCTTCTTGAGAGGATTCTTGTTTATCTGAAATGCACCATCTCACAGCTTCCTGTCCTTCACAGTTGTTTATTTTATTTTGTGACAAAGCCACGTATTCTTGCCTGATCACATTTGAGTTTGAAGGTGGCAATCAAGGATATACTAACAACACTTTTCTCTTAAAGACATTCTGTCAGTCGATGAACATTACAAAAGCAAACCAAAAAACCACATCCCAAACCCTGAATACATTTTAGAGGCTACTAAACAAAACATACCAACTACTGAAACCCAGCCTAAAAAGAAAAAGCACTTTTTTTTTCCTCGATGAGCCAGAAACCAGTGTAATCTGTCTGGTAGATATACAGAAAGCTTATCTAGTTCATGTTCATCTGAAGTTGATCCACTTAATTATTTCTTCCATTAAACAGCTCACTGCTGCTTTTTTCTGGTTGGAAAAAGTGCCAGTGTTACAGGAGAGAGATTTTATGCTCAGAGGACCTGGGATTAGAAGAACAATCATTTTGATACTGGAGATCTGTGTTTGGAGGCAGACTGCTTTTGAGCGTGTAGAAAATTTTTATGCCGACACATATCTGTGTTATGAAATAATTACAAACTCTGGGATGGCAGCAGATGTTATAGTCGAAAAGATCAGAACTGTTGGTTTTGGATAAAAAAAATATCTTCCAGTATTATTAGAAAACAAAAGAAAGCACATGGCATAATAGTTCAGCTTAATGGCACAGTTTGCAATAAAGCTGACATTTCAGGCATACTCTGCAGTGTTCACTTGAAGTAGGCCATTTTGCTGGGCAGAGAAGGATTTGATACATTCTTTTATATTACTGTGTCAAATTGGATTAGAATACAATAAAATGGAGAATGTAAAATAAAGGCCTCTGGGATCACTGGTTATACAGTGTAGCAAGATGCACAAGGAATTAAAATGAACGTACTCTGCAGAAGTACGACAGACTTGCTGTGTGTAGTTGTGTGGACTTTCCCTTTTTCTAGTACATTACCTTGGTTTATCCCTCCTGTGCTGCACTCTTTCTTGATATACATCAAGTGAATTTCCTTCAGTAAGTTTGCCCGGCATTTGTCTGTTTTATAATTATTACTATTTGAAACAAGAAGACATTCAAAGATTGAAAACCTGCTACAGTTGATATAGCTTCTGTGAGAAACCATAAACTGCCCAAAGGGGCTCAAAACTTTGCTGAAATTTATTTCAGAGATTCACTAATCTGCCTGCTGGCCTGGTTTGGAGTGCAGCCAGAGGAGTATTCACTTCAGCAGCTTCACCCGGTAGCCCATAGGATTCGGCTTCTGCTGTCAGTCTGCAAGATATCCAAGCTACACAGACAAGAAAATCTGCTAAAACTTGGTTTCTAAAATGATGCTTGGAGGGTTTCTCACAACTTTATGGAGCAAGTTCTAACCTTTGAAATTTTGGAAATGTTAATTAGTAAGCTGAGTACTCCACACTTTCATTTATCTGATACTCTTATCTCAGAACTCACATTAGCCAAAATAGGATTGTGTCTCCTATGTAGTATGAGTCATTTGCTTTGAAAAGGTCTCTGTTAACTGAAAACCCAGTGACAAGTCTAGATGGCAGGTCATGTCTTCTGTTTGGATAAACAGGGTTACAGTTCGCACAGGAATTCATATTAGTAGAAATTAATAGATGACTCATATTTCAGTCCTGAATTTAATTTCAGAGATTACAGAAAATCTGAAGACAAACTAGATGCCACATCATTTTTGAAATTTGGAAGGGCAAGTGATTAAAAAAGAAAATACCAGAGCCAATCTTTTGCCTAAGTTAAAGCATGGAAAAAGGACTGGTACGTATCAAAGTAACTGCAGCGTGCATGTGCATTCAACTTGCAGTTGATTGTAAAACTGCAAAGTTGAGCTTAGGACACTTACTGCTGTAGGAAGGCAGGCTTTCACTTGGAATGACTGTCACCTGCTCTGTGAGATTCTTACTTTTCCCTTGTGGTTGAGGAGCAGTAACTGCACAAAAAGCCAGGTTTATCCTTCTCTGACACTGAGTGTCCATGCCCTCGCCAGTACCTTGAGTGAGGGAACTGCAGGTGCTGCTGCTGCACTTGCCATCCTAGCATGGAAGAGGATCATGCAGTGGGTGCACAGCGCGCTCCCCAGACAGATGTGTAACACTAAGACACAGAGAAACCACCTTAAAACAGACCAAACGGATTTAGTCAATTTGGTCTGCAACATGGGCATGCTACTAGAGCACAGAGGTATAAATTGAGGGTCTGAATTCAGGAAACTATTTGTCTCAAAACATCTTTTACTTTTCAATGGCTTCTTACACTCAGCTCAGCATAAATGAGGTCTAACAAAGTTACACTTTGATCTTACTGTTAATGATGTTTGGTTTATCTGACCCTAAAATGTGCACTCAATTTGAGTATGGTTTGACATAGCAAATGAAACATTTACTGGCTCTTGGCACTAGTAGCTTCACCTCTGTGGATTTCTGTAATGTATCATTCTCCTTGAAGGTCTGTTCTCCATAGGATGTGCATGATTAATTTCTAATAGCATTACAAGGAGGTTGGCTTATGCGTTGAGAAAAGAAGAAAGCTCTTTCTTTTCCAAAACTAATTTTTGTGGTTTTGTACCTAATCACTATTGAGATTCCTGTGTAGAATCTGACACCAGAAACTTCAGGACAACAGAAATATAGACTTATTTTATAAGCTTCCCATTTCCTTATGTAACAAAGTGATGCCAAGCCAAGACTTAAAACCAATTCAATGTGTTTCATTGCTTTCATGGAACACATGCTGAGGTGATTGTTATGTTTTTAAGTTTCTATAAGCTTTATACTTTTCATAGCTTTAATTTTTATAGGCTGACTTATTACACTTGCGTTTTGGACAGCATTGCCTGTGTTTTGTTTGCCTGGATTATGGCAGTGGCATTACCTCTGTGGAATACAGTCTTTAGAAGGACTGAAGATCACTACATAAGAAATCTTGAGTCTGCATTGCTGGCTGATTCGTATGCTGTAATTTATGTGGCAAATAATGCAAAATACAGAGAGATAGACAAAATAAGAAAAGTAGTAATTCCTTAAGTTTTAGATTAAGTAAGATTAAGAGAAAAACATTCTCCACCTTTCTATCCTATCAGTTAAACCCACTACCTCCTATATAAGACATTCTTTAATATATCCAAAGAAGGAGAAATGAGGACTGAAAACGTACTGTCAATTTCCTTGGGTTAAGGTCAAAGCTTGACAGAGAATATAGCATTTTCCTTCATAAATTTATCAGACAATTTCAGTTATAATCAGATTAAGGAAATAAAATCAGAAATGAAAAAAAATTCAAAAAGAAAAATTGTAATACTTACATTGGTGACATATTCAATATCCTTCCAAATATTACATTCCCTGGGAAAATCTGCCAAATCTAAAAAATTATCCACTATCACTTGGCCAATCAAGTCATGCCTGGAGAATCTGTCAAAGTCATAGACAGAGAAATGGAGTTTCCTTGCGTTCAGATCATTGTATGGGACAGTAAATAAAAAAACTTCATCAAATACTGGATTTAGGGTCTTTCTGTGCACTTTAGTCTGGTGTTTTGTTTTCCTATCAGGAAGCAGATATATCTTCACGTATGGATCTGAAGTTCCAGAGAAGTCCTTTGCTGGCAGATTGATGGCCTTGTGTATCTTCACTATCAGCTGCTCTAAATCACAATCATATTTCAGAATAAAGTTCAGTTTTCCACATGCCTTGCTATTACTCCTCCGGCCATCGTCTGTGTCCACTGATCTTTGTTTATATAGCTCTGGCTTAATGCGGCCAATCCCCGTCAGCTGCTCCTGTTTCTGAACCTGCTGGATGTCAAAGTCGGGGTTGGAGAGGTTGAGCTGTCTTCGGATTGAATTATGCCTTAAGTGAAAAATAAAAGAATTTAAATAGATTGTGTTGAAGATGACAAGAATCTGTGCACTCACACTAAAGAGCCCGCTCTCATTTGATATGTTTTTGTAATATACACCAAGGTCAGATTTTTACTCGCATAAAGTGATAAAGCATGATACTAAACAGTTGTGAGAGCTCACCTCCAGCATTAGATTGCTAAAATCACATAATTTTCTGTCCCTATGTCTCAAGTTAGTGGTATGAACCCTCCAAACCTGGCTGAAGAAAGTAACAACTGCAAATTCATGGCCCTTGCATATCCACAGGAACTGCCCAATTGGCAAGTCTAATGTGACATGATAAGAACTGTGGCTGTTCTTATCAGTTACCATTTCCAACTGATTCCTTTGGATTAATGCCTATGCAATGAGGTACATTATGTAAATGGCAGCAGGATCTGCCTTATTATGCCAGCTGAGCTTGCTGATTTCTGGTCAAAAAAGGATGCTTCCTGACATCTCTGCATTTTAATTACTTGTTGGTCTCTACGACTACTTCATTTACAAGTGAGCTGTTCTGGTCTGAAATGGTTTGTTGACCGCCCCAACAACTGGGTTGGGTTTTGTTGTTTTGGGTTTTTTTTTTCTCATATCTAATGCAATACTTTGGCTGAAAAGCTCCTTTAGTTTCATTAACTTGAGGAGAGAAATTTGCTTTTAGCTTTGGTCCAGTGAAATTTATTACCTGGAGTCACTCAGTAACTGTGATTGAAATTTCCACTTCATCAGACGATAGCAGAAATCAAATTTGCAAACCCTGTCAGGGTAGTGGGATGTGAAAGTTGGATGAGGTAAAATCCTAATCTTTTATGAGTTGGTTTCCACCTTTTTGTCCTATTCATATGCAGCAATCACTCAGTGTATTGGAGTACCATGAGCTGTGGTTGAACATAGAAAAAGCACGTGGAAAATGCTAGTACAGGATTAGTCCAAAGCTACTTATGTTGGATGTAATCAGCAATAGTTCCTCTGCTATCATTGTTTATTCATTCCTTGTAAATATGTGTTTATGTATCCTTGAAACAGGAGCAGCCTCTTATAAACTATCCTAATTTTTTTCTCTTGTTACATAATAAATACATAATTTTATAGCTACACATTAGTTATTTCCATGGTAAAATATTATCATGTCACAAAAAAAGATTTATATTGCTCAACATTTAAGCTCCTCATCACAGTGGGAGGTGCAGAATATCCTGGGAAGGAATATAAAGGAGGGCACTGGAGAGCCAGTTTTACAAGGACTGCAGCAGGGGCAGGTGCCTGGTCTCTGTGGCCACAAAGGAAATCACCCAGTCATGCCAGAAAGCGGCAGAGACAAATGGGAACAAAAAAAGGATGCAGTACAAGTAAGATTGGCCCGTCCTGCTCAGTGCTCTTCTTTTGGAGAAGACCTGGACATAAGTATGGGACAATGAAAGATGGGGTCAAGAGCAAAGCATCTATCAGCAAATGGTGTGGGGCAGGGGTGAGACCCGGACAAGTCATGCCCTTGTGGACAGAGAGCCAGTGCAACATGTGCTGGAGAGAGCCAGACTGGAAACAGCTGCCAGAAAAAAGATCTGCAGAGATTCATGGCAGTGAAGTCATTGTCCGTGCACTCAGGAAGCTGAGGCACATTCTTTTAGAGATGGGGATTGCTGCTGCTTCTTGTGAAGTGACAGTGCTGTGGTGATACTGTGCATTTGTCATTTGATTAATTATCAGAATTGCTGCCTTTTGTTGTAGCAGAAAAAGCCTGTATCTGACTCAATACTTTCACAATTCTGTTCTGAGGACTTCTCAGATTCTTTCTGACACCTCACAATTAGTGAACCGGCTGCTAGCCACTATCATCTTACCCATGTTCAGGTGTGGCTGAGGGCAGGAGTCTTGGCTAAATTTGCTCTCCCAGATGGCCAGAAAGGAGGCTAGCAAAGAGCAACTGGGCTTGTGCTGAAGTGCATGCATCTGCTTAGCCTCAGAAATTTACTGGCTCTTCAAATGCTGATCCTTTTTCTTACTGTGAAAAATAATCCTTTTATCACCTGTTCCTGCACACAATCTCACCCTCCCTCTGTCCTTTTCCCTCCTGTACTGGTTCTCCAGTTCCCCTGGAGACCTCACGGACTCTTTTTCAGTCACTTTTCCCCCCACAGACACGATTGTAGCTAAAATCTATTATTTTTAATCCTATTTCTAACTCTTGCAAGTGCTTTATTAGCTTGCCCTACTTTTCTTCTTTGGCTGTTTTAAAAATCTTTGAGGAGATATTACTGAGTGTTCAGTATCAGTACTAAGTGCAAATGAATATGCTTTATGAGCTAGATCTAGGCTGTTCTGGTGCTTTAAGGGACACACAGTGCTCTGTCTTGTTCAGCTTCCGAGGGAGAATCACAAATGAGACAGTAGTTGATAGGAGAGTGGAAAAGTACTGTGATCCTGTCCTTTTAACCTAAGAGGTTGTGCACCTCAAATAACAACTTTTGTGTAATTTTTTTAAAAATGAACACAGCAAGTAAATTATGCACTTTTAACAGATCGGTGTACTGGACAGTCAAGCTGTACGCTTCTGACCGTATCTCTATTCATTAATATCAGAGAGAAATTGGAGCTACTGACCGAGCAGAAGAGGTCGGTTCAGTGATCTGACGCTGCATTCGCACATTGTGTACGCAGTTCTCCTTCGTTCCCGCCTGAGCATCTAATGGAATATCAGGGGAGGTGTGGCTGATCTTCATGGAGGATTCCGGATAGGCTGTACGCTGACCCAGATAATCCTCACTGTAGTCATGGTCATTGATCTCTGTATCTGTGTAGTTCAGTGATTCTTGTTTGTTGTCTTTGCTCCCAAACGGCAGACCACGCTCTCGCCAAGGGATCCAACAAAGCTTCCAGGACACGAACAGAGAGACACCAAACAGAGCAAGACCACAGGCTGTGACAACTAAGGATAGCAAGCTTATTGAGATATCTGCAAACGAGAAAAACACAGACATGTCACATCTCTGTGCTCTTTGGAGTTCTGCATTTCCATGGAATACAATATAGGAAGTAAACATCTCTGGATTGCAAATCTACAAAAATTAAATTCTGGTCCCCCGCAAGTGTCATATAATAGAAACATATTAAATATTCTGTTCTTCACCCAAAAAAACCCCCCTCCAGAAGACCTTGTTTGGAATTTAGTATAAGCCTCATCTTCATGGAACTTAGTTTATATTTTCCCTTCAAAAGCTGGGTGGGATGAAGGGTCATTCTAAATATGAAAAGGGCTGTCCACTTGTTCACTCAGCTTTCTACTGCTGAAAGAGTAGTGCCTGCATTATATTTTGGGTTTTCTCTATTTTCCTTTTAAGTAGTGCATTTTCCTCCACCTCCTTTAACAGATCTTACCATCTTCTCCTCCAGAGACTGTATTATACTTAGGGAACCATGAACATGCACACATACACATATGTGGCATGATTTTTTTAGGTATGCAACTGAAGTATCTTGGTTTATGACTTTGATTCCCTTCTTTCTAATCTTAGACTCATTCCTATATTTGCAAATGACTTTTGACTATCAACACACGTCTTCCCGTTCATCATTTAGTTGAGGAACCAGTATCTCTTCAAAACTGAGATTCTCCTGTTTTTTAACTCCAAAGGCTCTTTTTTCTGTTTCCAAACTTCTGGTATAAAAGGAACGTGGAGATGAGTTTTCTGTTGTTTTTCCCCACATTCCTAGCAGTATCCTACTCCATAATCATATCAACACAAATAAGTTACAAAGGGGAGAGGCTTTTTCTCTGTTTTGCTTTGTTCTAAGCTGCACGTTGGGAAAATGACTCAGTGGAACAGCTGCTTTTATGGTTACAGTGTTTTTGAAATTAGTTTCTCCGTGGATTACACAATACATCATGCCTTAAACAAAATTAGTAAGAATTCTATTTTACTGCCTCGAATTATAAACAGAACTTGATCAAAGCAATTTTTCACACTGCGTGTAGGTTCAGAATGTCAGGCTGAATCTCTCTAGCTAACAGCTAGCCTAAATTTTCAAAGGATGGCGTGAGGTTGAAACGTACTGCTCTTACTAGGACAATTATTTAAGGATGACAATTCAGATGAAACAGCATTGGTTAATTTGAAGGGGAAAAAAAAGGATATTTTTCAAAAAAGTGGAAAAGTCAATGCCTTCTGCTCCTGCTGTGAGTCCCATTCTCACTAGCCAGACAGACTAAATTTCTGCAGAGAGGGAAGCGACACTACAGTTTCACACAGGAGCTGTCCAGTTTATTTTGTATGCTGAAAACCAATTTTAAACTATTCTAGCCAGCATGGCCCTTTCTGTCCTTCTCCCAGTCATATGAAGAAAAAGCTCATTAACAGTGGGGACAGCACAGCAGCTGTTTCGAATTATAGCAAAGTTTCAGAGCTGAAATTAATTAAAGAAATTCCTCCCATGCATAAAAGGCAATTTGGGAGAAAGTAGAATGGTGGTTCTTGGTATTTTTGGAAATCATTACTGGTAAACAAGTCTAGCAGTAGATGCAGAGCACAACCTCTCTGTTTGATTAAAAAGCAGAGGAACTGGGGTACAGTAGTGAAAGAAGACCTTCAGAATAAAGCAATTTGTCTTGGATTCCCTGAAGGAGAAGGAAGAAATACATCAGAGGTCTGTAAAAAGGTCACTTTTTCAAAGAACTGATTCAAGTAATGATCAAGCATTGAAAGAAATGAGAAACTGGGAGTTGTCAGAGCCAGCCAGAAGATTATAACGCGAGAACTGGAGACTATTCAGTGCCAAGGATGTGTGAAGGTGAGGAACAATTTGAAAGGTAGATCAACAGTCTCCTACCTTGAAAACTGCCTTAATAGAGGACACAGTCATCTAGAGAATGGACATCATGAGAAAAAATACACGAGAGCAAGACAAACTACTTTTCATTTGGAGAATTTGAAGGGTTTTAATAATACACTGCTGCATTTAATAACAACACTGAAAACCCTTATCTCACAGCTTACTTTCAGAGAAGCTGGGTAATAAACAATTCAGGTAACTTGCCAAGTTGCAGAATAAGAAGGGATTATTTTCATCATCTTGGATTTATTTCTTTCTGACTCCTCAGGAACCATTTTTGTGTGAAATTTCTGTTTCTGTGGGTGGGAAAGGGAAAATCTTGCATCTGTGTTACGTCTGTGAAAGACAGTGAGGCTAAAGGGCGGTGCTCCAAACTGTTACCTTTCACTGGACAGTAATTTTCAGATACTGCACACCTGGATGGCAATTTTCAGCTACTGGGCAGATCCAGTGTGAATAGCTGGGGTGAGTGCAGTCCCAAGTGAAGGTATTTTTGGCTGCATCCTGGAGCTGCTTTTACATTAGCCATTTGTACTGTTACATACTGTATTTTCTGTCCATATTTCCAGATGTCTCAGTTTTTCTAAACCTGTTTATCTGTATTCCCATGTGGTAGCAGTACTCACCTCATGCCAGTGATTTCCTCTGCTTTGTAATGAGAGCAGAGTAAATCTTGTTTGTCCTTACAAAAATCAGACATCTGCAACAAAGGAAGTGTCCTTCAGAAATCCAACTGCCTCTCAATTCACTCTGCTTTCACCCAGATCAGTGCAATGTGTTTTCCAGAGCACCATTTGATGTCAGTCTAAACCGCAACTGTGAATCGAAGTGCAGGCAAGCAGTATAGGCACGGCTGAGCAGTTTACAGGTAGGCATGGACATTGCGAGCAGTGAGGAATGGTGCTGAGTATTTCAGAACAAACAGGTTTTTTCAGTACCATTGCAACATATCAACTTAGCGCACATGTTTTGCCATGTTTCTGATGATTATCTGTGCTCACTTCTAGCATCTGGTGAGTTCCATTAGTGGCTAATATATCTACTCTCTGTACCTACTCTGCATTGGTATGAGCTCTTGATGCTTTGCAATGGAGAATCTCACAAATACAAGGAAGGCCCCTGTGCCACAGGTACTTGCACTAATCTCTTTCCTGGTGCCAGCCATAATGCCAGCCAAGTGTCTTGCAGTGTTGATATGAATCCAAGTCAAAATTTCCTAACCATAGCTTCTTGATCAAGGCTATAGTGTGAACTGAGTCCCAAATTCCAGCATGTCAGAATACCTGGACACTATTCTAGAGTGTTGATAAGAGAAGCGTAGAAAGCGAGTCTAATTTTTTTATTAAAAACAAGTACTTTTAAAATGGGTTAAAGCAACCAATCAATGCAATTGCATATACATACAGTTAATTTGCAATGTGCTTTCATACACCAATAAAGGAGGTCTTTCAATACAAAATAAGAAGACACATTAGACATTCTCAAGACAAGGGAACTTCATCTAGTTTTTTGTTTATTAAGGGCTTGGAAGATACTGCTATTATTTTCTGCTGTGGTTTGAGGTAAGGCCACTGACACATAGGCTCCCTGAATATCTTGTTCAAGGCATGTCTTACAGATATTCTGACGTACAAATAAATTTTTGACCAGGTTATCATGTCTGTATCCCTTTTACTATACTGACTTTCAAATTCTTATTAATGTTCCATGCTTATCAGCATAATTAGTGCATTTTTTTTCCTTTTTTTTTGGTAGCAACAAGGTTAAAAACCATGCAGAAATAGCAAGTGAAGTAGTCTTTTACCAAAGGATCACATTATCAGTTATTAACACAAACTGAAGAAATGAGCATGATCTTTCTGTGATGGATTTCATTACAGTCATTTCTATGACAGCTTTAGCAAAACCATTCAGTTTGTTTATGGCATCATTGCTGGATCTTTTCTTAATTTTTTACTTAAATTTTTAAGTAGGTATGTTATACAAAAAAGAAAAATCCAACTCTTTATGTCAAGATGAATATAAATGGGAATATGATGGGAATACAAATTCTCATCTTCAGATTACCCTGTTAAACAGAATTGCTGGGGAAGGGACCCTCCAGCTCATCCAGTTCAACACTCTGCACAAGCAAGGTCACCTAGAGTAGGCTGCCCAGGATCATTCCTAGACAAAACTTCTCCAAGGATGGAGACTCCACAGCCTCTATGGGCAACCTAATCCCAATCTAGGGATAAGATACAAAGTGGGTAGCTTGCTTTCTATCGCAATACAAAAATATCAATAAAGCTCTAAGATATAACTGCACATTGTAGATTATCTAGTAAAAAAAACCAACACCAAACGAATTATGTCTCCATTTATACTGCACAGGTTTTTAATGCAGATCTACTGAACATAAACTTTTATACTGACTTCAAATGAAATCATAGACTGTTCCAAAAGAACTTGAGTTAGTGCTGAATCTATATATTACGTGTTTCTTGTTCAGCATTAGTTATAAGACTAAAGGTAAATGTATAATGACTACATTCAAATGCTGACAGTACAAAATTGCAGGCCTGTGACTTGTTTCTCCTGGCATCAATGATTGTGCCTTACCCTCTAAAACTCTGGTGTTGAAAAAACTTGTCAAAAAAATTAGACATGCAAAACAGAAATAATGGTGGTTTCGTCTGTTCATATATGAAGCAAGGAATGACCTTTTTTTTCCTTCTTGTGTTACCATTTGAATTGCTAAATATTATACAAAATAAAATAGTTAAATTAACCAACAATGGAAAAGATCAACAGCTAATGCATATCAATGCAGGGATCCAGATAATGCACTTGGAGTTACAGAGTCAAAAGGCACGAACTAAACTATTTGGATTAATCTGACTCCAAAAGATGCAAATATTAACAAATATATGAAGAAGAAAAAAAGCAAACAACCAACCTGGAACTTCTGATCAGCCAGGCAGAGACAAGACATTTGACCAATGGAACTGCTGATTAGCAATATAACTATTTCAGTAATCAAGTTGTTGGTTGCCTGGATGTGATCGGTGTTCTGTCAAATGAACTCCTTTGCCAACAGATTGGCTGTAATCTGGTTTAACCTGAGGCTGAAAGAGTTTTACCAGA